AAACATAAACATATCCTCCAAGAATGTCTTTTCTGTTTATTGAATATAATGTAGAAATATTCTCCAACGATCACGAGTAATGGCCAATCAAACTGGAGGTAGGAATTAGGATAATGAAAGGCGTCGTGTTAAAAAAAAGGTGTAGTATTTAAAGTAGTATCTTTGGTAGGCCAAGCTCGATCTAAGTCTCAAGACCAGGTTTGCTTGTCCTACTCTCACATGCATCAATAAATAAATAACATAAACCACAAATATGTATAATCCAAACGATTCATCATTCATTGATGCATGCACAGAAGAAGACACATGAATATGTGGAAAGAATCGATAAGTCTCAGATTTACAGCTGAACACGTTTTGTGTTCTTTAAATGATTAGTGATTGCGATATATTCGTCGTGATCATATGTGAGACTGTGATTGTTCGAGAGCACATTATAGCGAAAAACAATTTGCTTGTTCGGCTATATCCACTCAATGCTTAAATCTCTATATTTATATACACATGTAACATTAAATATAACCTTTTACCATAGCTAAAAGTTTCAATATAACCAAACACTTGAGTTAAGGTATATAGGATTAAAGTAATCGAAAACTGAAACATTTTTTCTCAGTTTTAATGAAACACTAAATTATAATTTTGAAAAAAAGATATAAGGTCTATCTTAAATACTTAATTTATGGTGTATATATATATATATATATATATATATATATATATATATATATATATATATATATATATATATATATATATATATATATATCAATTTTCTATTAAAACTTATGGTCTATGATCAAATTATTATTTCTATTTATGAACTAGCCTATCCATTTATCATTTAAGGGCATAACCTCATGTTCCTTTTTGTCATATGATTGTTTTATTTTTCTCAAAAATAAAGGTATGTTTGTTTTGTCATTTATGCACAATGACAATGATATATTCATATAAACAAAAGAGGAATATAATTCGATATCCAAAAGCATTTTAATTAATTTCGTTTATCTTTTATGTTTACGCTTTGATTTCATTTCATTTCATATATGTTTCATCTGTCTACTTTTTTGCCCCAAGAAATTCTTTCCATTTTTGTAAATACCCACGTATCATTTATTAATTAATAACATGAATTTCAAAAAGAACAGTTAAGTGATCAAATATGTCTGCAGTAAAGTCTCTAAACCGGATCGGTAACTTAACCGTTTTGGATCATAGATCAATATAGTTCGACGGTTCAAACGGGTTCAACCAAATTTAATTAATTTTGATTAAAAACAAAATTATAATTAAATTTAAATATTCTGTTAGTTATCTTCAGTAACTTTTATATATAATTATATATATATATAATTATATATATATATATATATTAATAATTAAGTTCAGTTATTAAATTTTTCAATAGAAATAGCTAGGAAATAAATTTATGTATAAAATAAACAAAAGTAAAACTAAAATTTAAAATCAGTAATTTAAATAGAAAATTAAGATTTTGACTTTAAATATTTACGAGCTATAAAAAAAATCAAATTCAATAGTTATACTGATTCAAACGACAAAAACAATTAACATAAAATATTTTAATTGTAAAATACAACTAGATCCAGTTTTTATCTATGCGATCCGGATATATATCATGTTTCTGGTTTAGTCCAATCTAACCGCTGGTTTGGTCTGGGTTTAATGATTTAAAATTTAACATTTTATGTAAACGAGATTTTAATGAATAATTAAACACATGAGAACTCATTCCAAATCGTACTAACAATTAAGAAAAACAAAGTGTTACAAATCATTCAACCAAAGTTCCGTTGCAATTCACTCGCTTAGAGATTTATATAACTTATTCAACCAACAATAATAATTAGATTATTCCCTTGGGTAGTAATAATAATGGTAAGCATTGTTCTTCTCCTCTTCACGCTCCTGCTGATGTTGAGTCTGTTGAGAAGCTAACGAGGTAGAAGTTGAAGATGAAGGCGTTGAGAAATGCTGTTGCTGACTACTGAAGAGACTCGACGTGTAGTACGATAAATCAACGTCATTGTTACTCGTAAGCAACTGAGCATACTGAAGTATGTCCTGATTATAATCCGTTGGCCACGAAGTAGTAGTAGTAGTAGTAGTAGATGGACCAAGCACAGGAGGAGCGGAGTTCATTAATTCATTACCACCTCTTGGTGCATGATCACAGTTGGATTGAGATGCGACGTAGCTTGTGGTCGAAGGACCTTGGACGCGTTCAGGGAAGTTGAGCTTAGCCTTGGTGCCTTTGAATTTCAGGGCGGCTCGGTCGTAGGCTAAAGCGGCTTCCTCTGCTGTCTGAAAAGTCCCGAGCCATACACGGGCTGCTTTCTTTGGGTCACGGATCTCGGCCGCCCATTTTCCCCATGGTCGCTGCCTTACGCCTCTATAGTGTTTTTTTCTTGGTTGATCTTGAAGAACATGTTACACAAAAAGAGTTATTGCATGTAACACCAAAAAAAAAGAGAATAATTGCATGTGCAATCTACATGCACGAGAACTTATAGCAACGGAATATAGTCTAAAATAAAACTAGTTTCGACTTTTATCATCACTTTAAACTTGAAAGGAGCAAACATAAAATATTAAAATGGATTATATGATTTAACAAAGATTCAAAGAGTCAAACAGTTACATGCATATTGACATTAAAATTCACAAAAGTTGATAAACTTAAGCAAACTGAGACTTATTGGTAATCTTTCTTTTTTTTTTTTTTGTCAACGGACTTATTATTAGTACTCATGTACAGACTTATTCACAAAATAAATTTCATAAAATTAAGTGCTATAGGAAGAATATATGGGTTTTGTTAATATTTATGGTTAATTTGGTTGTATTTTTGTGCATATGGAAGCGTAACCCAGCATTCAATGTTGTAACTATGACATTAAACTTGTAAACTAATTAAGACTTGAGTTTTGATAACCACTTCTAGGTATGACATATTTGTCTTTTAGCGCATCGTCTAAACACGAGTTAGTTCAAATTTAGATGATGTCGAAATGACTCGCACTAATTCGATAAAGAACGATCGAAGACAATTAGTTTAAAATGAACAAAGGAACGTGAGTAGTGAAAATTACTCGAATCGAGTTAGGTAAGAAGCCATATGTAAACTATATGTTTGACTAGTATAAAACCTTTGCGTTCATAAAATATTATATAGCTTTGTACTTTCAAAACAAGAACACAAACAAATCTAGATGACACGTAGCAACCTGATCGGTGGTTCAAGTCAAAGACAGAAGGAAAGTTATTTACGTAAGAGAGATGCATATATATGGTATTAATTTATCACCTTTCTCTTGTTGTAGTTGATCCGACTTATCAAGCTCTTGATTAACAGGCGGGTCTGACATTTGGTGTCCATCGGCTGCCGCATAGTCGATGACATGGCTGAAAGAAGACATCATGGCGGTGACATCAGACTCGTTCCAAGATGGATACTCCTCCGCCGACGTTTCCGGTGGAACCAGTCCCTTTCCGTACATTGGATCCACTTTTGCTACAAACTATGTACTCACACGCAAACCCCAAAGAACGAGACGTGTGTGTGTATATGTACAAGACAATTTGAAAGGAACTATACTAGTTTGAACGAATTGATGGAGCAAGGAATCTAAGGAGTGATTAGAGCATGAAGCTTGCAAGTTGGGAGGAAATAAGTTTTTTTTTGTACTCTTGGCAATTGATATTATGAGTAAAGATGTGAACAAGGGTTTATAAAGACAAGGATCTAGAAGAGGATAGAGAATTTAATATATACACTGAAATAATATAATTAAAATTTGGAATGGTCTGGGGTAGGACCGTTCGTTGAGTTCATAGTTCTCTTTTTCTTTTTCGCAATTTGTCATAGTTATCTTTGGAGCTTATAGCTTCGCATGTTTTTTCAACAGTGTTTCATCTCTTTATATAGATTGTAGCAACAATATATTATTTTTGCTTAATCGATTCGAAACTAGTTGGACCCTATATTGTATATTTAGTCATCTATATTTGAGTGATGCCGCACTATTTGTTCTTTCTAATTTCTTAGGAAAAATCATAAGAAATTTTAAAAGTATCAAATATTTGTGGACACAGCGTAGGCTACGATTAAGATTAACCATATATAGAGTTTGAATTCCAATTTATTAATGTAGACTACAGAAGATTACAAAAAAATTTTACAAAAACTCTTCAACATGGTGTAAGTAAATTTGGTCAAGAGTGAATTTTCATAATACAGTTCAAATGATATAGTTAGATGTAGATCATCATAAGATAGGTAATATTTACGGTTGTCGAATCATTTATATAATTTTTTTATAAATATAATATTGTAATAAATAAGTGTTAAAATTAAATATTTAAAATTGACTGTAATATTCATGAAGTTGACAAAAAACTGTAATATTCATGAAATTTTTTATCAAAAATTAAAGTTAACCGGATTGTCTATCTCACGGTTGGTGTAGCGAAGAATGCTGAAGCATTGTCGGTTGTCGAATCATCTATATAAAACTTTTTTATAAATATAATATGATAATAAATAAGTGTTAAATCAAATATTTAAAATTAACTGTAATATTTATGAAGTTGACAAAAAAACTGTAATATTCATGAAAAGATTTATCAAAACTTAATAGTTAACCGGATTGTCTACTTCACGGTTGGCGCAGAGTGGTGAAGTATTAAAAGTAAGGATTGGTCTAGTTTCAAAGCTAGTTGGTCTCATTGCTGGGCCTTTATATGCCCATTAATATAAACCCATTTCCAACGTCCACTCTATTTCATAAAAGCTCTGTTTACTTGAATTATAAAGATTTGGAAATTGTCAAAGTTGTATTCTTGTTCAAACCATACTACAAAATAACAAATATTCAGAGAAACTAGTGCACAAGATAGACTGGCACATGTATATTTATTGCAACTAAGACTCCAACAACGAGTCACTAGGACCAACAATTCAAAGAACAACAATTTCAAGTACTAAAAAACCTTGCAACCACACAGCCCTCCATAAATTCCAAGGCATTTCCTGATTTAATGCATCTAGGAGTCTTATATTGACCAATGGAAGCACCTTGTGTGATGAAAAAGTCCATGAGAGAATCAAACGTCCCTTGACGCACCACTCTTATCTCCAAAGGCCCCACTGACCCATCTCTGAACCTACATCTCTTGTAAACATTGTCAAGCGAATCCTCTATCACTGAACAACAATTGGAGAACGCCTCCTCATTAAGCTCCAAATGATTGTTCCCCTCTTTGGCCTTTACTTCAACGTAAAGCACGTAGTGACCCGGAAACGTTGAGGTGTCAGCATAGCTGGTGAAGTCTACAAGAATGAGATCAGATGAGTCAAGAACGAGCTTGGCTTGGCTTACAGCTTTAAAGAGATCTTCCTCGTTGGTTTTGTCTGAATCTATGCTCAAGACAACGTTCTCTCTTCTTACAAACTTAAACTGAGGAGCGTTGTTGTAGAAACCAGTCACCAAGAGAACATCTCCCACTCTCATTCTATACAATCCTAAAAAGAACAAAACAAAAAAGAATAATAATTAAAACATGTTAGAAAAAAAAAAAAAAATTGCATGGTGTTTGGGTTGTAATGTTATTAAACTCACCAGCGAAATTTGTGACCACAGGTTCATAAGTGCACCCAAGCTTCACATCTTGAAGGTCAACCACATCACGCGTGTCTCCATCCATTGTTATGAACTCAAAGTAAGACATGTTAGGCATGAAAGCATAAGAAACATCTTCAGGTTTGCACAAAGGATCTACATTAATCCCAAACGTTGTCTCCGAAGAACCGTACGTTGTTGAAACGAGAGGCAAGTCGTCACAATAGTAGTTCATGGTGGGAACGTACTGCCCCATTGAACCCGTAACAACGGTTTCAATATATTTAGTGTTTGGCCAAAGTCTTGTGACTATACCTTTCCATGAACTCTGGTTACATATTGTTTCAATCGTGTCGGCTAAGTCAGGACGTGGCCCACCAAGGACTAAAGACACGGAGCTTTGACAACCGAGGTCGGTGATCCACTCGCTGAGATGGCCTGAACGGATGTTAGAACACAACTCTTCCCAGTAAGTTTCAAGAAACTTGATTGCTCGGACCATGACTGAAGCGAAGATGGAACCCATTCTCACAACCTCGTCTCTTTGGACCAAGCCACATAGCAAATGGCAGTATAGACTTTGTGTGTTGTTTGAACATAGTATGACTTCATCAGGGCTTGTGTACGAGTAGTACCAGTTCGATGGACGGTTCTTGAAATAGTCGCTCTTGAAATAGCTGCTTGTTGCAACTCGAGCAGGTAAGCCAGAAGGTGTAATGGCTTCTTGTTTGGTGAAGAGAAACATCATCCCTTTTCCTTTCTCCAAACCTTTCACATGCCTAAGCAGAACAAAGAAAATATCTTATTAATCATCATGGGTCTAATCTAAAATATTAGTATAGATAATGGTTTAAAAGTATATATAGAATGTTTCCATGCTTACCCTAACCTTTGTTCCTCTCACGAATAACAAAATTGCATATTTGCTAACTAAAGAACTAAATTTATATTGTAGATTTATTTTTGTTTAATTTTCCATACCACTTCAATTAATAGTAGAATGAGTTATTGATATAAGAAGAAGCTATTGGACTTACTTGGTTATAACATGCATACGAAGATCGTATGCGAATGTTAAATTGTCCAAGTACTTGTTGTTCCATGGCATCATCTTTTGTGCACCTCCCGAAGTTCCCGAACTACAAAATACAATTCAAGAATTTAGTTTTCATTTACAAGAAATACAAACTAATCAATATCAAGAGCTTTTTATGTGTACCTTAGCAAGAAACCAGTAATAGGACGGGCCGATATGACATCAGATGATTCTCCATTAACAACACGATCGATATAAGGCTTAATATCTTCGTAGGATACGACCGGTACGTTCTTCTTGAAGAGCTCTTTATCAAACCTCTCGATGTGGAAACGTTGGAGGTACTCAGTTTTTAGGTTAGGTGTGAGTATCTCCTCCAACAAGTTATCTTGTATCTGCTGCACGTTGGAAGTTAAGTCCTCGAGCTTGGCCTCCCATCTTTGGTTGTTGTCAGAGTTTGGATTCATGTTTGGTTCTCTCTGATTGATATGAAGAAAAGAGTGAACATTTTGGTCTTTATATAGCAAAAGAAAACCAAAATCACTCAACCGGTTTGGTTATAGGGGAAGTCTCGGTCATTGTTTAGATGACATCTTTAACTGTAGAAAAGTCTCAAGCGAGGAACACAAGTTGATGTGTTTGATTAATTATACGACCTAGACCTTATCGTGTGAACGGTGCCATAGATGATTCATATCTGTATTTCAAAACTACATGCAGATTAATATATGTGTAGTATATGAAATAATGAAATAAATTATAGTTTTAAGTTTCATGGAAAATAACTAAATCGCATATAGGCTTAAATTATTGTGTGAAGGTTAATGATACGGATGTTACGACTAATTTTATTTTATTTAAAAATAAACACATGTCAAATGGGTATTATAGTAGAGATTTAAAAGATCTGAAATGATCTCTGCTACTTTTTTATTCATGAGATACCATCTCGCATACTAGGTTGTAACTTGCATACTAGGTTGGATGTGGCTTTAGACATCTATTAATTCATGTAAAACGGTGATTATTATGTGGTTGTGAGAGGAATACTAGTGCTACAAGACTTGTATAAAAATAGAGATCATACATGGTACATTGGTACATCGTTTTTCATGTTTTCACTTTTGAAATTTGATTAAGTTTTTTAAAAAATTCATATCATCCATGTTTAAATTAGAAAAACCTGAGAAATTCTTCATACCAGATGGTCAACAATAATCTTTAAGGTCAGCATCAAAAGGGGGTTCACATTTTTATTTAGTTTTGGTCAAGATACTTTACATATGTTTAATTAATGAAAATAAAATCTCTATAACTTTAGAGCTTTATTTTATAAAGGTTTTCTTAAAAATAATGTCGTACCTGTATAAGTTCCAAAGTGTTTTTTTTTTATTATGTAAATTAAAATACTAGGGCATTTATCATGTCACCAACATATAATAGTCAACAATCTACACCTATAAGTTTTTTTTGTTGGTACTGAATAAGAGGATCAATAGAGTCAATAAAACGTGGAAAATAAAAAGGAAATCCATCAAGAAATTTCTGCACGTAATGTTCTTCCACATTAAGTTGAAATTTTTGCTCAAGAAAATAATATTCAAACACAAAGACTCGACATTGAGAGTTCAGTATAAGTTTCTTTTTTGCTGGTCAAACAATATAAAACGATTTACTTGTGACTCTTCTGACTCATCACGAAAGTGAGTTCAAACAAGAAATTACAAACGAAGTTCCAATAAAGTATAGTTTTGTTTAAACAAGTAAAGATAATGAGAAAAGAGAATGAAACTGATGGCAAGACTTTAAACTCACCTGCGGCAGACTCTCTTCTCCATATTTGATTCACTTAATTAGAATGGATCCTTTCCTTTTGTAAATGCATTAAACCAAAACAACTTTAAAAATAATATCAAGAATACAATAGCACAGAACTATAAAATGTGTTAAGCAGTGATATTATATGGTTCTGGTGTTAGCGGCAATCTTATCTGTGTTATCCAACCTAACGGTACTATGTTTTTCTTTCCTTTAACGAAACAAGCAACTCAAGCATTGTTAAATTGTCTCAAACTAATACAAATGGGTCTTTAGCCTAAAGAGAAACAGATTAAATTTATTTTCTTGTTTTTCCTTCTCTGATTCTCTCTATTTTCCATATTTATTGATTTGTAGCAATTGCTTTCTACCAACCCTATTCCATTTCTCTTCAAAATTCTAATGTATACACGACCAGTTTTTTATTTGATTACTAACTAAATTTATACTTCTTCATAAATACATTCCTCAATGAAAATATACTAGATAATACTAAAAACTAATTCTGATATTTATAATATACTAGTTAGTTATTGTTTTCATTGTAATACACTACAATTGTTATAAAATGAGAATATCCATTATCATTCTCTTCTTTAGGCTTTCTCAAAAATAATTTTAAATTGATACTAAACTTTTTAGAAAATCATATTTGATATCTTTCTCAGCATTACCTTTTAAATTTATGTCTACCTATAAAAACTATATCAGATTCAGATAACATATTAGATTTTCCAAACGTCAAAATGATTTTGACTTTCCAACTAAAGCTTCAAACTAGTGGGACTTTGTAAAGTGGGTACCTGGAGGGATATTTTCCAAGAAACTTCAAGCACCCTGGACAAAGAAAACGAATTTCCAAGTAAGTTTCAAAGTCATCTCTCTTTTGTTTTCTTCCTATCAACATAAGGTCGTCTCCCTGTTCTACTATAAGTCAGTATTTTATTAGTTTAATATGCACAACCTAAACCAAGTCACCAAACATAAACTAAACATGTTCTTGACTTGTGAGAGTTTTGGTCTTTAGGCATGTTTCAAAAAAATGATTAATGTGTTCACATGTGTACCGAATCAAGACAAAGCTTGTAAAGCAATGAAATGGATCACATGAATTGGGTTATTAGCATACATGTTGAAAGGAATCGAAAGAAAATAAGAAGAGGGTACCTAATTTCTTTCAAATCTTGAATACTCTTTCCTGGCAAACTATTAAGTGACATTTGGTATACCATCTTTTCTATCTCTGTAAATTGCTCTCGGGCAGCCTCACCCAACATGTTACAATATATTAGCATCTTATATATATGTCTCCTTTCAAAGTAGGTTAGCAAATTTGAGTGAGGACGTGCAAAAAATTTCTTAAAGAAGCACAAATTATCAAGACAGCTCTTCACGTATCTACCAGTCTCAAAGGCCAAGCATATTCTACCAACCAGTCTCAAAGGCAAAATTGTTTTGAGTTTTTTTTCCTTCTAACTATGCTGTTTCTACATTTGGTTTAGAAAAAGAAAATAGAAAGTAAATGGACAATGGCGGAGCCACATGGAGTAAGAGGCCGGCATCTGCCCCCAACTCATTTTGAAAATTGCATGAAAAACATTGACTAATTCTGAATATTGCCCCCTTCCTCTGTTTTTAACAAAGTTATCCTTTAGTTCTATGAATAATTTCAATTATGCCCTTATAAAACTTTTTTCTAGCTCCGTTTATACTACTATTGGCAGAACCACATGGAGTAAGAGGGACAAGACCGTGTCTAACTTTTCTAAGATCAGAAGCGGTAAAAAAATGTAACAGATTATTTTACCACTGAACCAACAATGATTCTTGTCAAATTGACCCCTAAATGATTTATAAATGTATTAGCCATAAGTACATGCTTGACCAGCTATGGTCAGGCACGACCTTAAAGAAGGGGCATATGCCCCCAACTCATTTTGAAAATTTCATATTAAACATTGACTTAACTTTAAATATGTCCCCTGTTTTTAACAAATCTATTCTTAGTTCTTTGAACAATTTTAGTTAAGCCCCTTATAAAACTTTTTTCTAGCTATGCCCCTTATACTACCATACATATTATGCTGCAAAAATATGCTACTTTTTTCCATCTCATGGACTGATATTTCATATCTGCGTAGCATCTTAAACCAACTTGTACATAGCTCCAGGCCTCCAACTCATTCATCACATGCAAATTTTCTAAAGGGCCAAGAGAATTTCTAACCAAAGAAGAAACACTAAATAATTTAAAAAGCCTTAAATGGGTATTTTAGGAATTGGGTTTGACATAACCGAACTTCCTACTTTGGGCCCATTACGGGCCTAGTTCATTAGCTATAATATAATTTGCAATCTTTGCTGATGCTATCATACTTTTCCTTTTGGATGGACAGCTAGCTAATAAGCCAAAAGAACATAAAAGAAAACATGTTGGTCCTACCAATTCTCATCATACTACTACTACTCGTTTTGAGTCTTTTGATTTCAATTCCACTACTTATAAACCCTAACAAGAACTTATTACTATGAATAAAATCACTTCGCATAATAAAAGCTTTTTCCTTTAGCACAAAAGGACGTTGATGAAAGGGAGAAAGCAAATTATTCTCAAGACAACACAAAGAGAACCACTTTATGTCTGATAATCATATTCTCACACGCTTAAGACAAAGTGCACAAATCCTCGCGCCTCCCCAATCCAACGGTCCACATCTCACTTAGCTTATCTAGCTCAACGGTTGAGGTCTCCTTTTCTCCATAAGCCCCTCCTCACGGGACATAATGTCTTGCTTTCTGCCACTCATGAAAGCAACGAGAGCTACCTTTCTTCCCGCATACGTGGCGGTAGGACCCATTTATGAGTTGGCGGGAACCCCTATTTTTGTCTGTTACTGATCCGCTCATGCTTTTCTAGAGGGCAGAGAGAGAGAGAGTCACAGTCTCGCAGATACTGTGTTTTGAAAAGAGAGTCTAGAGAGTGTGTTTGTGATAAACAAAGTTTTATGTTTTTGTTTTGTTTATGTAAGCTTCTTATTTAAAAAATTAGATTTTTTTTTATCATATTGCAGGAAAAGAATGAGAATTTTCAGATAAGAGAATCTATGAGCCAATGATTCCATCCATCTTCTTTGTTAAGCTTTCAAGTTAAAATTCCTTTTTCTTCTTTTTCTTGAAGGTTTTTCATTGGTTTTCTCGAGAATATATTACATTTGTGGTTTACGAGAAAGAAGATAAGAGTGAGCTTCAAAAAATAGTCTTTAACTTTCTCCTGCTTCTTTTTAACCTTTGAACAGCTTCAACTTTCTGTGGCTTCCTCAGATTTATTTGGTAGAATCTTGATGGAGCAAAGAGTAAGAAGAAACAGATACAACAACACTCTCTCTCTGCTCTTACTCTTCTTCTTAGCCTTCACTTCAAGAACAACCACAAGCACAAGTTGTCGGCGAAGAACTGTCAAACACTTATCCACAACTCATCTCTCATCTACGCCACTGGATTCAAGAATCACTTCCAAGGTTATTGTAGTTAGCATCGTCTCAGGAGTTTTAACAGGGTTGCTCTCTGCCTTAGCGTTAGCTTTCTTGGTGCGTTGCATTGTTAAGTACATGAAACAGACGCCAATCCTCAAAGGTCCTGTTGTGTTTTCACCTAAGATTACACCAAAGTCTCTCCACGCAGCTCTTGGTAACGGTATCCAGTTACTTGGCTCAGACCCTAACGGTAAATACTACAAGATGGTGCTTGATAACGGTCTAGTGGTTGCTGTCAAAAGACTAGGGTCACTTGAAGTAAACGGCTCACCAGAAGCAGCAAGCAAGTCGGTGAAGAGAAGGTTGCAGAAGGAACTTGAGATTCTTGCTGGTTTAAGGCATAGGAACCTTATGAGTTTAAGAGCTTATGTTCGTGAATCAGATGAGTTCTCTCTTGTCTATGATTACATGCCCAACGGTAGTCTTGAGGATGTGATGAGTAAGGTTAGAGGGGAAGAGATAGAGCTTGGTTGGGAGATTAGGCTGAGAATTGCTGTGGGGATTGTGAAAGGGCTTCAGTATCTTCATTTCAGCTGTGAGCATCAGATTCTTCATTATAACTTGAAACCTACTAATGTGATGCTGGATTCTGAGTTTGAGCCTAAGCTTACTGATTGTGGATTGGCTAAGATCATGCCTAGTTCGCACACAGTAACATCTTGCTACTCTGCTCCTGAGTCATCTCAAAGTAACAGGTGCTTGCTTATAACCAAAACAGACCATCATCACTACTAGCTCTTGTTTGTTCCTTTTATTAACGTGGTGTATGCAAATCCTTTGTGACAGATATACAGAGAAGAGCGACGTGTTTAGCTTTGGGGTGATATTGGGTGTTCTTTTGACTGGAAAAGACCCGACGCAACCTTTTAGTGTAGAAGGTGCAAGTGGAGGGAGCTTAGGACTGTGGCTGAAACATTTGCAGCAATCAGGGGAAGCAAGAGAAGCATTAGATAAGAGTATACTTGGGGAGGAAGTGGAGGAAGATGAGATGTTAATGGCTTTACGAATCACCATTATTTGCCTCTCTGACTTTCCTGCAGACCGGCCTTCAAGTGATGAGCTTGTCCACATGCTTACACAACTCCACAGCTTTTAGCCTAATGTTCTTATATCTGTGAAACCAATCTGTAAAAGCCAAGCATCTGTAGTTACATCTCAATATGTTTCTTCTTCTACTTATACTGGTTAATATTTCATCACGCAAAATCAAAATGGTTCAAGAAGTTGTGAAAACATGGTTCCCTTACCTAAACGTAATACAACTAAACGTGTGGAGGACAACAAGCAGATATTGATGAAGCAAGCAATACAATGAAAACTTCAAATAAAGCAATGAGCTGGTCAAGTTAGTTTTCTACTTGCACTGTCCTAACAGGTGACCCGTTGCCAAGTATGGGTTGTATCAGTAACTCTGAGAGGTCACCACTCTCGAAGAAAGATTTGTGAAGAGCCTCGACGCATCCTTCAGCTTCAGCGTCATTTACTATAAGGGAAATATTTACCTGCAAGATATTACCACAAGAAAGAAGATTGGTTAGGTGTGTACGGAGAAGAGAGTTTTGTGATAAGCAGCGTGTTACCTTAGATGCTCCTTGTGATATCATCTGGACGTTGATGCCTTTGGTCCAAAGAACGTGAAACGCCTGCCCGAAGTTAAGGAAAAGCATTTTAGCTAAGAAGCGCAAAAAAAATTTTTACTCTGTGAGAATTTTCAAGGAGGTAAAGATCTTAACCCTCTCTAGAATCAGGGAGGAATGTTGAACATTTCCAATTAGAGAGATTATAGCTCTTCCTTTCGCAAGATTCACAACTGCAACTTTCTCCAGTTCTTCAACTACATGATCAAGCTCCTGTTTACAAGGAAGAAATGAAAAGGCCTCTGAGAAGCACGCCATATACATGGGGACTGGAAATATAAAGTGTGTGAGAACATGAACTTGCCTGTTGAATCAGTTCCCTGCTCCAAAGTTTTGATGGGTCTAGTGTCAGAGATATGCTGACTTCACTAGTGGCAACAACGTCTACGGATATTTCCAGATCCTCAAATATCGAAAATACCTGTCCAAAAGAGTGGAGAAACGCAGGCAATATTACTTACTAATAGTATTATTAAAGACTGGAGCAGACGCTGCAAATGTACATTCTTACCTTTGCAAGAAACCCAACTTGACCAAGCATTCGGGTGCTTGCTATATCCAGCATGGTCACATTGCGTTTCAGAACAATGCTCGTTAAAACTGTCTGTCATATGAAGAAGCATACACATTTGGTTTCCAATGAAAGTTCCCACATATAAAGAAGACATATCAAAATACTCTAGTACCTTGGTCATGTCTCTTGTTTTGGTGATGATAGTTCCAGGAGCTTTAGGGTTATAAGAATTTTTAACCCTAACAGGAATCCCACCCTCTCTTGCTGGTCTCATTGACTGTGGGTGCAAGACCTGCATCAACGATTCTTTTTTTTTTACTTAATCACTCAAGCACTGCTACTGCTACATGAGCATTATTGCGTACAAGTAGAGTGGGTACCTGTGCACCAAAATAAGCTAGTTCGGCTGCTTCATCGAATGTTAGAAAGGGTACTGGAGTAGCTCTTTTATAAATAGTAGGGTCACATGTTAGAACACCATCAACATCTTTCCACACCTACTCAATGCAAAAACAAACATCCAAAACTTAACAGAGATGTATATACATAAATTGAACTTTGAGGCTGTAGAAAAAAACCTGAATCTCTTGCAAACCCAATGCTTTACCAATAGTTGTTGCCGTCAAATCACTGCCACCCCTACCCAAGGTAGTAACCGCACCAGTTTTCCAACCCTATTATTGAATGAATTAATTAGGCAAGCCACAATAAAAAATAGTGCTTGAATGAAAATAATGGTTATCTGTAGGTTACGAAGTATTAGAAATACCTTCCCAAGGAAGCCTGTTACAACTGGAACAGCAGGATCATGCTCCCAATCATCATATAATCTCTTGGCAACAGCTGGATAAGTTGCTTCCAAGATATCTCCATTAGTGAAATCATCCGTTGTGATGAAACCAATCTCAAATGCATCATACTGCAAAATCAATAAACTACTTAGCTTTGTTTGCGAGGTGTAGAACAAAAGTGAACATCTAGACTAGTCGCAAAGATGCATCATTATGCCCAAGAAAGCTAAAGATGAAAGCTCAAACCAAGGAAAATTTAGGAAGTTAAAGAGATTATGAGTTTTTGTTACTTGGCAAGCGAAATTAACGCAAAGAAACCATAGCTGAACCCGAACTAAAATCTTAGATTGAACATTTCTACCTTAATCTACCAAGATATCAACATTATTAACTCGTCATACCAAACAAAATATATAAAATCTTTTAGAGTAAAATAAGATGATGGACATACTTGGCGTGCCTTGACTCCAATTTTATTAAGATAAGCTGCGAAAATCCTTGTAGACAAACACTCTCCAAAAGAGACTAAGTAGTCTCTGGTTCGAAGTGTCAACTCCTTCATCATGGCTATACCTTTCAGTAGTTGCTCCAATTCTTCCAAAAAGGCTGCAAAAACGTTTCACATAACCTTTTTAAAAAAAAAAAACATGTAGGCTCTTGAATATTTTTACCAAACTCATCACATAACAAACAAATACGAGGCAGGAAGCTCCTTTAGTGTTTCGAAAGTCTAAAAGTCACACAAACAAACAAACAAAACAAATCTTACACGAAACAACAGAAGGATCGATCTTTAGATCTTCCACTGTCCTGAAACAACCAAAAAAAAAAACACAACCTTTATCAAAAACAACATCAAAGCAGAGAAATAAGGGATACTCAATTAATCAAATATCTTCAAGAAAAGCAAAACCTGAGATGCAAATCCTTGATAATGCTCAACTCCTCGATCTCAGAAGCATTAGAAACTCCACAACTCACCGCCTTCTCTCCCGCCTTCACTAACACAAAAAATTCAAAAAAAAAAAAAAAAAACTTCAAACACCAAAACAGAACAAAAACAGAGAGAGTGTTGAGCATTATTACAAGGAGGAGGTTGTTAGTAGTCTTCCCCATAGCAGAAAGAACAATGACAGGACTTTCTTCCGGAAACGTCAATACCAAATCCGCCACTTCCCTCATCCTCTCCGCCGTCGCAACAGAAGACCCTCCAAACTTCATCACGCAAGTGAAACTCTTCTCTTCTTCTACCCCTTCCTCTGTTTTCTTCTTCTCTTCCAAAACAGCTCGTATAGTAGTGAGACATTTACCCGAAACCATCCTTGATCCATCTCCAATCCGTTTCAGTGGTGTGAAACGGAGACGGTTCGGAGAAACATGTAGCGTCGACGAGTTACGGTGACGTGTGATGGGAGATTTGGTGGTGAAAGAGGTGTTGTAATGACACCGAACCCTAGCACTAGTAGCCGCCATCGGAGAAGGAGGAGGGGAAGAAGGGCGAGAATGTTTTAGTGAGACGCCAAAGATGGAAACTTTGTTGAACCCTTCTCTCTCCAACGGACTCTGTTTCTAAAAACGTTGTCGTTTTCTGTTACCAACGCAACGATTTAATTTGATTTTGACACGTTTTTATTGCTTGTAATATGAATTGCACTTGTCCTTAAAAAGAATTTTTCATCAAACCATGAAGATCCTCACTTTAAGATCATCCACGTATGCACTTTCTCGAGCCATAAGCAAAGGAAACAAGTCGAGAATCTTCATTGAAAATATATCACCAAGAGGCAGTTTAGTGTTTTTAATTTCAAGAAAAGACACTTTCTTATACATGGACACTTATCTTTAATTGAGTCATTTTAGTTAGACCACCATCTAACTACACCCAAACTCAATTAACTGAACTCATGCTCGCCCACAATCCTCAGCCGCTCATCTTTCTTTTTTTCAATGGCTGAGATTATTCTCCCCAATTGATGACAAGACTTATATCTGCCTATTTTTAACCATTGGATACCTTTGTTTACAATTCATCCAACGTTCCAGATTATGACAAGAGCTCATCTTCTTTAATTCTCAGTTTTTCTACATTAAACCTTCGTCGTTAGTTTTCTTGCTACAGATTTGTGAAACTGAAGTAATTAAACACTTCTCATCATCAGGTTAGTAAAGATCCCTAACCTAACCTTCTTGATTATACAATGCCTCAGATTTCTTTTCCTTTGTTGTTTATGTTTTTTTCTATTCTACGCAGCTCTGCCATGGCAGAACACATCATGGTTATTCCTGGGGAATGGAAATCTGACGATTCTCTCTGGAATTTCGTAATAGATAAGAAGAAAATGTCTAGAATTGTCTCTGTTCGTGTTGGCATGACCTTGCTCGAGTTAGGAAACAATGTTGCTAAAGAGTTCTTTACTTTCACAAACCCCCCTCCTAGGACTGTCTTGAGTTACTGGCCTCCTAACTCCAAAGAGCTCGCCACCGGTCTACGGACACCCCCCGTTGTACTGACCAACGATGGAGCGGTTGCCTATTTCTTCCATCACCTCGCCATTCACGCTTCCATGAACCTGTTTGTTACTTTTGATTCCGTAGGGGAGAATCAGGATGTTAGCCTAGCTGATGATAGACACCAAACTTTTTCAACACCTAAACAACCCATAAAACCCAACCTAAACTCTTTTGGATACACATCAACCGGTTCCTCCAAATTCCCAAGTTTCTCTCTCTTTGGTGATGATGAACTCTTAGAAAGCATGCCCCCGTGGACTCCAAAGCACAGCAGCCCATCTGCACCGTCTCCTTCGTCTGGAGTTTCCAAATCTCAGTGGGCCTCTATTATAGATGAAACTCTCACATGTGGAGATGAGATGCTTCAACAGATGTTCAAAGAAAATCCTGACAACATCCCTGATAGTTGGCTTCTTGACGATGACGAGGAGACTGTACCTGAAAGTTCAGAACCCCCAGACATTGAATTTGTTCCTTTTAGGGGGTATGACCAAGATTTTTGGAAGCCTTTATTAGAGGACACACTTTGTGGATCTGATGCCGCTGAGCTAATGGCAGGGATAAATGTACCTAAAACCGCTCCTGATACTTACCAGTGCAACACCGGTGACGCCTTTGCTCACAATGTTCGGTTATCCGGTGAAGATGATACTGATTGGAAAAAAGACTTGGATTANAAGATTTTTGGAAGCCTTTATTAGAGGACACACTTTGTGGATCTGATGCCGCTGAGCTAATGGCAGGGATAAATGTACCTAAAACCGCTCCTGATACTTACCAGTGCAACACCGGTGACGCCTTTGCTCACAATGTTCGGTTATCCGGTGAAGATGATACTGATTGGAAAAAAGACTTGGATTACCTCGGCGTACACCAGAAGGAAGGTCCTCCTGTACACAAAGGTTCAGCGTACACACGTACACCAAGACCAGACCCATCGCCACACTATGGAAGTGTACACCGGGAATCAGGGTCTACGGGCACACCAACGCATGGTACCACTCATCCACCTGAACCTGCTACCCCACCTCCACGTGAGACTAGGCCACTATCTGAGATAAGCGATGAAGAATTTGATCTCCCGCCACTATTTGATGACCTCGCTTATGAAGCTGATGATGTACCGGATCTCAACTGGGACGAAACTGATGGTGAACCAACCGTTGGAAAATTATATGCATCCAAACAAGACTGTCAAATTGCATTAGCTATCTATGCAATCAAGAAACGTTTCCATTTCAGGCAAACCCGCACCACAAGGACCTCTTTTGTGCTTAGTTGTCATGACATACACTGTGATTGGCGCATACTAGCTAAAGAACTCACCACATGTGGTTATTACACTATCCAAAAAGCGCAGCTTACTCACATCTGCCCTTTGGACCAGCGCGATCAATACAAGAGCAAAGCCACGTCCAAAATAATCGCTCATGTTTACCGTTCCCGGTACACTGAACCAAAAGATGGTCCTAAAGCGGCCCAGCTGCAGCAGCTAGTGTTGGAAGATTTGCGCGTCTGCGCTTCTTACCTGAAATGCCACAGGGACAAAGAACAAGCCGTTGATATCACTGTTGGGAAAGCTGAGGATTCATACCTCAATCTCGCTGAATACTTCCACAGGCTGAAACTCACAAACCCTGGCACTGTCACTGCCATAGAAACAGAGCTTGATGATTTTGGTGATTCCCGATTCCTCTATGCCTTCCTCTCTTTTGGTGCTTCAATTCAGGGGTTCCGTCGTCTCCGTCCTGTTCTCATTGTTGATGGCACCCCTCTTTCTGGTAAATACAAAGGTGTTCTCCTCACCGCAAGTGGCCAAGATGGGAACTTCCAAGTTTTCCCTCTTGCTTTTGCTGTCGTAGATGCAGAAAATGATCATGCTTGGACCTGGTTCCTCACACAGGTTGAAAGAATTATTGCTGACTCTAATATTCTCACAATAATTTCAGATCGTCATATCTCTCTTCTTAAAGCCAAGGCAATTGTCTTCCCCAAAGCTCACCATGGCGCATGTATTGTCCATATCATGAGGAATGTTGTTTCCCGTTTTAAGAGTAAAG